GAGGTGCAGGCACTCGGTGGTGAACTCCATCTGCCTGCCCTGGAAGCTCTCCTGCTCGAAGACGGTGATCTGGGGGCAGAGGCAAAGGCTCAGATGGGGACAGGCATGCTCGGGGAGGGCAGGGCGGTGCTGGGCGTCCCTGCGCAGACCCTGCATGCACGAGCCCACTGCCCCATGCCTGCCCCTCGGCTCTCCAAGGCTTTCTGCAGCTTTTTTTTTTTTGTGGCCTGGGCAAGCCAAGCTGGGCTCTGTGCACGAGCAGCCCCATCCCAACGCGGGCTGAGCACGGGAAGGTCCCCTCCTGACAGCCATCCCTGCTCCGAGAGGGGCTCGTCCTGCCCCCGGCGTTGCTGCTGCAAAGCCACATCTCCCTGCACTGGTGCCCACATGGGGGCCCAGCCGGGCTGGGAAGGAGCTGCTTTTCCAGGAGCTGCATCCGCACCGTGGCCTTCGCTGCTTGGCATGTGCAGAAGTGTCCCGGAGCCCTCACATCCCTCGCCCCTTGTCCCCAGCCCCGCTGCAGCACCTCAGTGGTACACTGCCCCAGCATAACCGCGGCGTTTCAGCGCTGGCCCTGTCACCCGCAGCCGCCTCCTCCTCCCCCCTGCAGCACCGCAGGACCCCCACACGCAGAGGGCGACCGGAGGGAGCAGGTGGCAGCACCCAGCCCTGACGCCATGACCCGGGGGAGAGCGTTTCCAAAGCCTGTGGTCCCCAACGAGCTGTCCCAGCCAAGAGGCACTCAGACCACCCCTCCTGCAGCAGCCCCGCAAGCGGCCGCCCAAACCCTGCACCTAGAGAGCTGCTGCCCAGGAGAGACGCAGCGGGGAGGGATGGCATCGTCCGCGCTCTCCTCCTGCTCTCGGAGGAGGCTCCTTCCCCCTGGGACGCCTGTGCTCTCCTCCTGCCGACTGCCCCTGAGATGCTGCCACTGTCCCTCAGCCCCGGACCGCGTCCCTGCATGTGGCAGCAGCAGGGCTTACCCTGAAGGCTTCTGTGGAGGGCTCCTCGCCCTTGCTGTTTGCGATGGGAGCAGGGTCGAGGGATGGAGTTGGCACTGGGGCCGCCTTCTCCTTCTCCTCCGCAGCCTGGCCGGGAGCAGCGGGTTTTGTGGTCTCAGACATTGCGGTGTTGGGCTCAGGTCTGGGACAGGGCACCAGGCAGAGATGCCAACAGCAGGTTAGAGGGGATGGATGGCCATGGGCACCCACCACCCACCCCGGCCCTCGTCCTGCCCCAGGAAAGGTCGCATTGGGATGGGGGCTCAGCAACGGGGTGGGTGGCTGGGGCCGGGAGAGGAGGCGCAGG